TTTTATATTGAAAAATCGGGTTCATTTTATATTAAAAAAATTGTACATTTTATGACACACGCCGACCGGAGTCGAGGCATGTTGGCCGTCACATGAGGGTGATGTAGCCACGTGCGCAACAGAAGTGATAATAATAGAAAAATGCGTCTAAATAAAAACGAAAACTAAACCTATTTAAGCTAGAGATAAAATATAACTGTGTGAAAGTGATCAAGTATAAGATATACACATATCAGAGCATAGGTAAACGAAAGTGAAGTCGAACCAACTAAGTACTAATTATACAAACAGGGAGAAGGTCCCTACTTATTTATGGAGACGTCAGAACCGCTGTGAATTCCTCATGAGCCACCAAGGATGATCAACTACCTAGAACCTGGAGGGGCGCAAAACAGAAGGGTGAATGGGAAAAAACAAAGCATTTGAAAACGTATTTATCTTTTCTGAAAATAATAACCCCTCTCCGTAAAACCGGTATAGTTTCCAAAAAATAATACTACATAGGTATGGAAACCAATACGCAAGAGCAGCGAAAAACTGAAGTATGTCATGTCATAATATCTTAGCAATAATAAATGTAAGCCAGGTGTGAAACCAATATAAAATAGTATGTTAGTCGGAGTCACCTAACGTGACCTGTACGACTGGATCTATAGCTTATCAATCTAGGCTAGCACACGAGCCAGAGTCACCTAACGTGACTTGTACGACAGGCTAGGTATAAATATGTATGCTCAAGTGTTACGATCACATGAAGGCTATGCGATAAATTAAGGGTCACCTACAAGTCGGAACCACCTATTGTGGTCTGTACGAAAGGCTGACACCAGACTTGGATCCAAGGTGAGCGTGCGGTGCATGAGGTGAACGATCACGTGAAGGCTAGCCCTAGCCCCGGGCAGGAGCACTAATACCGGGGTGCAGCCATGATGGGCTCTCAAACAATATAACTCTTATTTTATAACAATGCAATACTTAAAATGCAACTCATATACGACATGGCATTCAAAGCATAAATCATTTTAAAAGAAATGTTCTGGAAACCACTATATATATATATATAGAAAACAAATGCCCACTCACTGATAAGTAGCCTGATTGTAGCCCCCTAGTCTTGCTTGTCCACGTTCGTCCTCGGGATATGTCTCACCTGACGCCGTTAGAATATTCCGTTAAAGTTAACAGAACATGTTCATTCTTCTTCGGTGACTCATCGGAGTCCGCCGCTGACCGCCGTCTGGTTCGCCAGTTTCTATTAGAGGTCCAAAAACAAACGGAAAATGGTTGGAAAAACCTTCGAAACCTCCGGCTGAGTCTGCAACTCTGTGAATCCTCTTATCCCGACGTCAACTCCACCCTAAACCTACTCTAGTGTCTCTATGGAGTTTATTAGAGGCTTCCTTAAACCTTAAAACCCTGTGAAACGCCCACGATCGCGTCGGATGAAATCCGCTCCTCGCCGGAGCTCTGGTTCCTCATGTTTCCAACGTCCGTTCTATAAACTAAGGGTAGGGTTAGGTTTGTGAAGTCGAGATGAGTGTGATGGTAGCCTCAATAGAGTCAATCTGTGAAGTTTTGGTATAGTTTGACTGTGGGTATGCTCTCAGGTGTACAAAAGAAAGAGAATGATCGAGAAGAGGTGATAGGGTAAGGGTATGCGTATGTGTGTGTGTGTGTGCGTGCGTGTATACGAGATTGGCCAAAAAGAAAAATATCAAGGCCTTGATTGGGCTGCCATGAGAGAGGGAGAGAGAGTTATGTTAAGTGGCCCAAAGAAAAATGAAATCAAACCCAAAATCTGATTGGGCCCAATAAAGTAGGAATTAAGGTGATTGGTGGACAAGAATAGATATAATCCACCCTAAAATATAATTCTACCCATTCTCATTCTTTAATCGTCGTAACTTTCGTTAGAAAACCTACTCGACCCTAACTCGCGTCGACGCGCTTGTGACGCCGAGTATGATTTAATTATGATGTCGAGAAAATAATTTAAAACTAGATATGTACATCCACATCACTAAGCCAACGAGGGCATATTCGTCACTTTACATACTCGGGGAGAAAATGTATACATTAATTTGGGACAGGTCGTCACATTTTACATATAACAAATTGGTACATTTAAGAATGGGTACATTTAAGATTAAAAAAATTGAAAATTATACGAATAGGCACATTTAAGATTAAAAAATTGAGAATCTTTTTATAAAAAACTAATGGGTACAAACTTATTCTAATTTTATTTATTTTGGAAATGTTTGAATTGAAAATTAATTAGGAGTTTAATAGAGGTGTGAGTATTTAAACGCTAAACCAATTACTAGTTTTTATTTATGAAAAAAAAAACTATGTAATAAACATGTAAATTCATTATCACATTAATGTTAGGGACTTCAATCAAATTTTGAAAACTAATAAAGGTCTCAGTCAATGAAAAATAGTAACTAGGGACCGGATACTAATTTTTCCTTTCTCTTATTAATAACCATTATTAACTTTGTTTTATTAAGTAAAACATGGACCATAAAATGTATGATAGAAGGATTAAAAATGCTACACATGAGCATAATGAAGACATATGAGAAAGATTTACAAATTTCTTCTATATATCCTTGTAATACTTATATGATATATTCACATTTTGCGATCCATCTTTAATATCTTGACATCACTCCCTTCAGATTTGAAATCCTTGACTCAAACAATAGTCCAAGTGTTATTTATATAGCATAAAGTATAGGAAACTGTTACTAACACTAAAAAAATCTCATTCTGCACTCACAAATGTATTTTTCTTTCTAATTGTAGAAAGTTTGGAGTGCAAAATGATATTTTTAAAATGTCAGTAACAATTCTCTAAAATTTATAGATTAATTAATTTATGTGCATATATACTGATAAATTTCAAAAACTTTTGTAGATTTGCTATGATAAATATGATCTTCTTCTTCAACTTATTGGGTTTCGTGTTCAAAAACTCTATTTCATGTAGTTTAGATAAATTTAGTGTAGATTATTCTACCTATTTTCAACTTTTTCCATTTTAATCTAAAGTTTGGCTTATATGCCTTATTTTTTATAGTTTGGTGTTTTTATTGGTCGTTCTTAGTTTTTGTTTCGGAGTAGGATTATCTCTTCTCTAAATTCATTCTTCTTCCCTCCTCTCCCCTCTCTTTACTTCTTTTCTTTCTTTCTTTATAAAGAAGTCAACATAAAATATTAACGTGTCTTAATCCTAACCGTTCAAATAAGAGAGAATTCGAGAGAATCCTACTCTATTCATATCACTTCTTTGGATCAAAAATTAAAAAGATGTTGAGCCGACACATAGCAAGTGCAGAGGCAAAAGGCAATATCAATGGTCAATTGGATTGTACTTGTCTTTCTTGGTTGAAACTTGGACTGTACTTGAATTGGGATGCAAGAATCAGAATGGGCAGATCAATGGGTTGTATTAGTGAAAGTAAAAGCCCAAAGGTATTAACTAATACTTCAGGTATAAAAGTCGTCGCAAAAAATGTTTTTTTAGCTAAAAATAGCATTTGCCTACACACTTTATATATATGAACAAATTTTTTTTTATAAATGAGAAGGAGAGAGGGAAGTGGGGGAAGTGGGAGGTTTTTGTTTTTGGAATTTTTTTTTTAATATTGGAGGTATTTTAACATCACATGTAGACGAGGCTTTAATTAAAAAACAGTAAAATTTTGACATGTGAAATTACATTATTGCCCATCATTTTTTTATGTGATAGAAGATTAATTTGTCTTTTCACCTTCTTTTGGTTGACAAAGAGAGTTTCATTAATTAGTAGAGATGATGTCTGAGATTAGCATAACTCATCATTTTAGTCTCTGAGATCCTTGAGATTGTTCACCATCAATCATTTTGGTTATTCTATGAAAAATCTTCGTTAAATTGAAGAAATAACCAGTTCAAGTAAAGAAGCCGATTTGACAAAAATACTCTCAATTTAATGGAGATTTTTTACAAAATGATTGACAAAGGACAATCACAATGACTACTTCCAACAACTTTAAATCTCAATGATCAAAATAAGAAGTTGTGCCAATTTCAAAAACTATTTGAGCTATCAAGCCAAATAAAAATCGGGGATAGAATTCTATCGATATGTACTATTAGCACTACAGTAAGGTGACCGTACACTACTCTATAGTGAAAAATAAAAAATTATGTATGTGTGAATGATTTTTCCTTTTTGGTGCAAATAATAATTCTAATTTTTCTCTCAAGTTTTTTTGTCTTTTTGGAGGGCGAGAAAAAATATTTCTTTGAAAAAAAGTACTAAGAAAGGAAGAAGTGTTGGAAGTATTTTTTTTTTTTTTTTTTTGTCAAACGATAGATTTTGCTAAATTAGATGTTACATTAGCCATCGACGGAGTTCAAACCCACGCCGTCATGCAATGACTCAACACATTTCCACCCTTAATTTATAGCCTCTTTCACATTGGCTATAGGACCAAATGTAACCCATGAAATTTTCCACGTGTTTGCTTAGGTTTTCAAATTTGGTATTGTCTTTAATTTAACTAATTTTATTTTTGTAATAATGTGGGTGATTTTCATATAATTCCCGTTTGGAAGGGTAAAATCACTTAAAAAAGAAAGTGCATGAGAAGTGCCTCCATAAAATCACAAGAAAAATTACTTGATTTATGCATTTCTCCATAAAATCACCCCCTTTACGCAATTTTACAGTGAAACACCTCTCATACAATTCTTCGCAACATTGATAATGACTCTCCCAAAATTACTTCCAAAGAGACTTTTGAGAATCGAAGATGTGTGCACCAAATAAGCAAATTTTATCCTTTACATTAAGTCAAGTCAAAGGTCCCCTCAGCCCGTATTGCACTTGAATCATTCATCGTGTTAAACAATGCTTGTTCTTCACAATTTTAATAAAAGATTATAACCCTAAATTATTCTTAATCTCATCACATTCTCACTTCCTCAAATCCCTCATGACATCTCTCCACTTTACCACCTTATTCATCTCTGAAACTTTTACCTCTCATCAATATAGATTTTTATGGTTACATTTGGATGCAGGAGGCAGTTCCGACCGGCAAGTTTTGCCGGAAACTGGATCCAAACTTCAACCTCGCCGGTGATCAAATGAGGAAGGTAAGTAGCACATGAAACGCATACAAAGAAATTCTACCTCAGTACCTCCAATATCCCCACCGAAAACAAGATTTCGGTTCTTTCATCAATCACTAGTTCTAAGACTTCCCAACACCTTCATCAAAGTTTGACTCAAAAACTAACCACATTTTCATGTTTTGAGAAATCTCATTGCCCTAAATTCCAGGGGAGAACTGTCTTCATCACGTAACCGATTATGTACCCAACATTTCCCAATTTGTAGCTGATTCCGGTCAGGATATTCATCATTTATAATGTAAAACCAGCAACGCACCACACATTTAACTGCGCACAAGAAGCGCAAAAAGGCTTCTCATACGCATTGCATGATACCATTTCAAGAAAATAACAAACACATCAACAGATATTAATCTTCCAACACAGCATTATTCACCTGTCAACTTTAGTGCTAGTAAGCTAGGAAGCCGATCCAGAACTTGCAGGCATAGCCCGTGCCATTTTTCACATACAGGTAGTAGTGCCTCTCCTTCACATCAGTTTGCAGCATGTCTGCACATCATTATTCAACACAACCTCCAAACAATAAGATGCTCTATACTGAAAGCATCTACAAGATCAGCTTCTCTGGCAATTGCTCACTTAACCAGGATCGATGGAAATTTTCAGGACCGAAGAACAAACTGTATTGACAGTCTTCTCATTCTGCAACAGGAAGATGGACGTGAAGAAAGTAACAGGGCACACAGTTACAACTGGAGCTTCGTGGCCTATATACTAGTTTAAAGTGATGCCATTTCCTTGTAGGATACCTGCCCTCGGTCACCTCACCATGCATAAAAACCAATGCAGAAACATAACTCATAAACTAAGGAGAATCTTCGTATAAGCATTTCAATGGCTAACTCCATGAGAATGACTCTACGAGATATGATGTGCAACCAAGACCAATGACAAGTACAAAACTTGCCAATGAAATTCAGGCACTACATATAAAGCCCATAAGTACTGTAATACGAGCATCGTGAGGAACTAACCACCATAATACCAGATGCAAACTATTTACATAGGAGACAGTTAAGCAAGGTTGTACTGCATCCTGTTCAGAAACCATGGAATCGTAAGCAAAGCTTTGGAACTGGAGAAGGCCCTCAGAACATCACATGTAAACAACAGAATGGCCCCTTGCTTTGTGCTTTGAGCCAATAGAGTCATGCGCCAGACATGAACAACCAATCCCGAATTCAAGGTCAAGGTAGAAGCAAATTCAAAATCCTTTTCTCTTCACTTGTGACGTATCATCAAACCCACCATCATGCCAAGGCTGCTCAACGTGTTTGTAATTACCTTCTTGGTCCTCGAACCCTCTTATTCTTCTAGGTGCATTTCCTGGCCGATTCTTAATCCTTCTGTCAAAGTCCCTTCCCCTCAAATTGCCTCTTTCTTGAAACTCGGTACTATCATCTGGGAAGAACCTCAAAGGCCTAGGTCCATCCTCTCCATTAAGATGAAATGTCTCACCATCAGCACCATTATAAGGTCTGAATGAACGGATAGGTCCACGTCTCTCACCAAATCTTCTTCTCTCATCACCATTTCCATCACCACCAAGCTCATGCAAACGACCAGAATGCATGGGGCCACCAAAGTAATCGTCATTATTTAGCCTCTCTCGAGGATCTATGACGTCAAATCTCCTGTTTCTGACTAAATTCCGACCAGAAGGACTTCTATTAGGAATAGCAGATCTTGAAGGACCATGGTCTCTTCCAGAATCCATATTCCTCAAATCATTTGGCGGATTCCTCCTAATCACCATCTCTCCAGGAAAACATGGGCCATCAGGGGATCTAAACCTCCCCATCCTGTAAACTGGTGGAGACCTTCGATGAGTTAGTTCTCTAGGACCAGCAAACCCATCTGGGGATCTTCTTCTAGGAGACGGCCATGGCCCAGGAGAGCGAGTCCTGGACCTTATTGGCGATTTTGACCGAACTCTAGGAATCCCTCTCCTCTGTACAAAAGAAAAGTTCCGATTTCCTCGTCCAAATTGACCATCTAATCTGTCATATGAAGGTTGGGTACGAGTGAACATGGGGTTTGCAATATCATTAGGGAAACCCCTCATAAACTTCTCGTTATGCCTCATTCCAACCAAATTTGGAGCATCTTCACCCATGCATCTGGTTGGGCTAATATTTCTTGGATTTTGGCGAGGCATGTGTGCTCCAATAGGAGACCGCCTCCTTGAGGGTATATGGTAGTTAAGTGGTCCATCATTTGAAAGATTCCTTCCTCCACGACCTGTACCAGCAAATGCACTCTCTGAAGCCATATTGTAAGTATTATATTCAAGGTCAGCATCAGAAACATCAAGGGCATATTTATGCCTGGGGACACGATAGTTTGTTTGATTATTATAAAGCTCCGAAGCATAGTTACGATCAGAACCCCAATCACCGCGACTATTCATCCTCCCTCTACCACGTCTAGGAGCCAATCTATAATATCTCAGTGACTGATCTTGGTATCGCTCCCTTGAAAATCCAGGGTTTCTGTCAACATATGGTTCAACTCTGGGGGGGGGGGGAAAAAGTGGCAAAAAGGAAGAAGATTGAGATTAGAATACAACTATTAACCCTAAAAACCAAATAAAAGTGAAAATAGAAAACAAGGGAAAAATAATCACCTCCCTCGAGAATGTATATTATCTTCCTCCGTTGCTGTATCAGGTAATATTTCTTTTCCAACTCTTGATGGCAAAGGCTGTCCTGAAATAGATCTCGATTTACTCGGAGAAACAGTTGAAGATCGAGGCAAAGTTATTATCCGGCTCCGTTGTCCTCCATAACTGGTATCCTTCGCAGCATTATCACCACTACCAGATGTTTTGGGCAAATTTGAGTCACTCATTGGTGCCAGGTCAGTGTTATTTACTTTCAGCTTTACACACTGACCAATATCCACTACAGTTCCTTGGCTTCCATTAGTGACTTGCTCGGAGAACTCTGCATCCTGACATTTCTGGGCATCCATCTTCCCCGATTGGTCATCAGGTTCTGTGGACCCTTCAACACCAGCTCCGCTGGTTAGATTTTCAACAGCTAATGGTTCTTGCAAACACATATCTTCGTCAGAGCCCTTATCAGATTTATCATTAAGAACTACATCAAAAGATTCTGTATAATTATTATTACTTGTTTCAGCAAGATTATCTTTGTTGTCTTTTGCTTCATTATAGAATGAAGTAAGATGAATATTGTTAATAGGTCCCACAAACTCCGTCCTTTTATTATCTAAATCGTCATTATCGTCATGTTCCACTTCTCTTGCCTTACATATTGGTTCTTCTACGGCAGTAAGCTCAACTGACTCTTGGACCTCGCCATCTTCATAATCATTACCCTTACCATCTTGTTCAGTATCCATAGCTGTTTCTGAAGCACGAGCACCATCTGATTCACAATCAGAACCATAAGAATCTTCCAGCATATCTGCAGATATATTAATCTTTTCCTCATCACTGGCGCAACCCTCACCACTTCCCCGTGAACCAAGTAACAGATCATTCATACACTTCAATTTACAACTCTCACGGTCAATATTACCATCGTCTGTTCTCGTATTGTTTCCCTTGGTATCAAGACCCTGAGATACAGCAACCTGATCTTTGCTTTGACAAGCTTCCATAGGCGCATATGCATTAACGTTTCCTGAATGCTTTGTCACATCCCTGCTCATAGTCAAATCTGTCTTTCCATCACGGCAAGACATCTCTGAAGTCATAGGCAACATCATGTCACCAGAATGATTATCCGCACCTTGGATCAAATGTTTATCCAGTTGGACTGATGTTCCTTCAATTGACTTGATGGTTTCTCGAGTATCCACAAGAGTTGGTTCAGATTTTATGGGTCTAGGATCAACTGATTTTTGGGTGCTCGTATTTGAAGACTTAACAGCTCCAAGATTCCCCTGCTCAACGACTCCACACTTCACTGCTCTACTACAATCTACTAGTCCTGTGTTACTGGGTTTAGATACGTTAACATTCAGCTTGACACCCTCATCAAACGGTTCTGATTTCACAGTTTTACAATTACCCAAGTTCAAATTTCTAATAGGCCCAGACAATCTAGGTGAGTTTATAGCAGATATCACCCTATGTAAATCCAGTTTACTGGATGAACTAGAAGGGTTTTGACACTGGTTTGACTGCAAGAAAAGTGAACTAAGGCCCAAAAGAAGGGAGCCGTTGGACTTGTACTGGTTAGCAAGTGTGGATGAGTTGGTCTCATTAGCTCTGTTCTGGCTCTCAACAATGGACAGTTTTTCTTTGTTAACACCAGCTCCAACCAACCCAGTTTTGCAATCCAGCCCACCAGTTGCGTTACTCCCATCAATGGATATGGAAGAATCAATAACAGTATCTGTCCATGCATCCATTGGTGTATTCAAATCCCAGTTTGCTCGACATTCACTCATATCAGCACCAAGGGAACTCAAACCTTTACCACTTCTTTCACATTGGCTGCTGGTTTTTTCTTCACTTAAAGACAAATTCAGTGACATAGGCTCCAAGTTATCCTGATTCCGGTAACTCCTGTCACCACCAATAACCGGTCCTGTCAAAGCTGGAGAAAGATGTTCCTTTAAACCTAATGACAATTCAGTTCCCTCAGCAACAGCAGGCATTTCTTCTTTACACTTCACTTCTACTTTACTTCGGCTATGCAAAATCTCCTTCCCTACAGTAGCTGCAAGAGCTTCATTTGGTGCTAAAGTCAATTCACTTTTCCTTAAAGTCACCTCAGGTGCAGGATTATCAGACAAGACAAGCTTCCCTTTCCTCCGCATGTCATCCAAAGCACTTGAGTGAATTCCGGGGATAGGTTCTTCGAGTTTGACTCTAAACATATTATCATTTCCTTGGGCCACACTAACATTTGCAATGTCAGAGTTTCCTCTTCTATAATCTGATTCAGGAATCTTTTTGGCATCAGAAAGTCCAGAACTGGTGATACTAACAAATGAAGGAGTCGACCCCCGAGTTGGGCTAGATTGTTCCTTCAGTACTGAGTCAATTTTTTCTGGAAACAAAGATGGTTCTTCTATTGGAAACAAAATTGGTTCTTCAGGCGGTGGTGAAGGAGGACTCATGAAAAACCTTCTTTTCTTGATAGGAACACCTGCACTATAATCACTAGATTTCTGGGTGACGGGTTTAACCCCAGTCTGCCAACAAAAGATTTAATTGATCAATATTCATGAAAACAATAAATTTAAACAAGGCTCTAATCTCAGTTAGCAGTAATTTAGAAAGGAAATAAACACCTCTTCATTTCCCGATACCGGCATGATTCCAAGATTTTGCAATCTTATAATTAACCCTTCTCCTCTGTCTATAAATCAAAGTCTAGCAAATAGCAGGACGCCGTAATTGTTCTGAAGTCACCTTTAAGATCACCACTATGACAAATATGCAACTACAATCTATTTCTAAAAACCAAATTCAGTTAGCTGATAAGACCGTGCAGTGTCTTATCTTCTAGCTATCACACTCTACCAAATTCAATCTCCTGCACACAACCAAAACAAAAAATAATGCTACACATTAGCAAGAGAACTCGATTACAAATGTGAATAAATTCCAAAATAAAACACCAAACTCTCAGCCAACGACATGGACTAATTGGGAAAGTATGATATATGCATATCTGAAGACAAGTTAAGAACACATCATCGCTGATCGGTGAGTCGAAACAACAATCGGTGAATTTTAATTTTGTTATACTTTATTTTGCCATGACTTTTCCTAATTGAAATAGCAGAAGCAATTGTGCAATGTGAAAATACAAAATAATACTAACAAATATATACACACATAAATACATATATATAAAACATGAAAACTATATTCAACCAAATTTGCCAACTCTAAGATCATTTCTAGAATAATTAAGTAACCAAGCAAAAATCTAAACGCAAAATTAAATCCCTAATAGATCCCATAAAACAGAAGTACTTTTCCCAAAAGTATAAGCAGAAACAGAGACCCTTTATCCGTGCTATTTAAGCTGTAATAAATGAAACCCAAAAAACGAATTTCCCCAGTAGCATCTCAATTCGAAGCGTTACAATTCAAACGAAACAAGTTCAGACGATCCATTTAAAAGGAAAGAGTTCTGCTTCATAAATAAGCACTTCCACTTTGATCGAAAAAAAGTCAAAAACATTTTCACAAAAGCCAAAAGCCGCCGACGAAACCGGTGGCGACGAATCAACCAATCCGATCAACTAAATTCGACGGAAACGAAATCAAAATCTGCGAATTGAAATCAGTCAGAAACTTCCAGAAAATACCTGAAATCAAATCGCAAACGCGTTGACGAAAGAGGGAAACGAATTCCGAGCGGAATCGAAGACGTAGGATGAAGGAGGAGGAGGGATTACCTGCTGGGAGAGAGTCTGGAGGAGCTTTTGCTTGGTCAAAGTTACAAAAGGTTGCAGGAAATTGAGGAGGACGCGGCTTGAAGATTGAGAGAGAAGCAAAAGGAGGAAGACTGGGGGAGAGGGAAAGGAAGGAAGGGGAGAGAGAGAGAGAGGAGAATCTAATATAATCTATAATCTAATCCAAGGGGTGGGTCCCACCATGTTGTCCAAATTGTTTGTCGGCCTAGGGTTTGTGATTCTACTTTCTTTCTATAATTGCGGTCCTACCATATATAAATTCATTCAATTTTTGCACACACTATTTGGTCATACGTCACTATCTCTTCTACTCTCTTGTATATAGGTTCAGATCAGACCAGTTGGCCGAAGCAATGTGTATGTTTTACCGTATCGAGTTGATCTCAAATTGTTTGCCCTAATCCCACTCTCTCGTCCACTCTTTTTACACGCTTTGTGTAATTGGCTGGTTAGGTAAGATAATGTTGCTCGTTTTATTGTGTCGAGTTCATCTCGAACTATTTGGTCTAATCCCGCCCTCTCATCCACTTTTTTTTTTTTTACACGTATTGTGCAACAGTTGGGTAAGACAGTTTGATGCTGAATTGCAACGAATTGGATTCGACGCTCGTAAATTCAAGTTGCACATAGATGCATGTCCAACATGGCAATATCATAATTAGGTTAGCTGATTGAAAAAAGTATGACCAATTTAAAATTCGATTCCCTTTTATAAATTGGAATTGTTTAGAATATTACGACGAAGGAAAGTTTAATCTTACGAGTATCCGCACTCCCGCAAGCAACGGGCATTGTGTGGATGGGACCTTATACTGACGTGTTCGCAAATTGCCGCCCATGTTGTCATCTTTCGGTTTGGCCTTTCCTAGAAGGTTCGTTATGAATTTTCAGATGTACTTGAGTGTTTTGGCTTTTACTTTTCTTCTTGCTCTTACTCCTTTTGCACGCCAGAGAAAGCAATAAAGCATAACCCTTTTTGTTGGGTTCACATCGTGTAATGATTTTTTTTTAATAAACGATATTATCTATATTAAAATAAAATGGTTGGTTTAATCTCATAATAAGTTAATAATAATATGGTTCAAATTCATTTTTAACGAGAATCGAACTTAAGACATTTCACTTACAAATGAAAAGAAATACCACTTAACCGTAGTATTAAATGGTACATTTTCTAATAATTCTTACCTTCTAATTTTTATAAAAGCTTTTATTTACTCCACGATATTAGAGATGATAAAATGGCAAACACAAAACTTACGATGAATGTTGATAATATGTTTGGGAAAAAAAACTTATTGTGCCTAGAGTATCTATTATGGCGGTTACTATTTGTTTATTTTGCAATATTTTTCGGAGTTGACAGTGTTGTATTCAAAGAGTGTACCTTTACCGGTTTTATTGGCATTTTATGTACAAGGCCTCTCATGGAGGATTATGAAGTGATTGAATCTTTAGTTGTGCGGATTGAAGTTCATTTTGAAATGCTATTTGTGATCTTGTGCTTGTCACACTAAAAATATCCGCAAATACAGTGGCTATTAGATTGGGCAAGTGGCCTTATTCTTTGATTTGGAGTCATTTTTTATTTTAGTATTGTTTGGATTTAATTCAAGATGTCCTTTTAAAATTTATACATTTATTTTAAAATGATAATAAAACCACTATTATGTTGCCCAAATAAAATTTATTGTGCACATTATAGTGCATATATACTATCATTTACTTCTTGTTTAACGCTATTTTCTACTAATCTATATATATATATATATATATATATATATATTGTTTTATTAGTATCAAAATATTATTTATGAATATATGATAGTTGATATTTTATCAAAAGAAAACATTGGAAAGTGACATTGTACCAAACTTGGAAGAAAATACCACATAATAAAACAATCAAGTCATAGTCACTTTTAGTCATAGCGGATTAATTTACAGACCACAGTAAAGTATCTAATTAAATTAATTGAGTTTAATTAGTAAAGCCAATTAAGGAGAAACACTCTCTAAAAGCAAACATTAAATTAACTTCTTGGTATTAACACTCTTTAAAAAACAAAGATTAAATTAAGGAGAAACACTCTGTAAAACTAAGATTAAATTAATTGAGATTAATTAGTAAAACCATTTAAGGATAAACACCCTTTAAAACACAGGTTAAATTAACGATTAAAAAAACCTAGTGTGCACTTCAAACTATTTATATTTGCATTTAGTACTATGATTTTCACTAAAAGTGAATTTAAATCACATTATTATGGCTGACCTATTGGCCACTCCCTCACCTCCTTAGTGTAAATAATTCCATATGTTTAGGGGAAAAAAAAAACCTATCAATATCCAACAATAGAGATCTATAAATCTAAAAAAATGTTATTTTTATCATCTACTTGTACCATCATTTGTATTATCTTTCTAATATAGATAGAACATGCATGCGTTGAAGGGCTCATATCTATTAAAGAAAGGATTCAAGTGATAATACACGTAAATAATAAATATAGCATTATTTTGTAAATATTTGTGAATAGTGCTATTCTAGAGTGCAAATAAAAAATACCTTAAATTAACAAAAAAATTAAATACCAGCAATTGTATTTGACAACTGGGACCCATTACTTCAATTATTCATCGAACAAAAGCATTCGAATTTTAAATGCCCCGGAGCTGCAGGTGGCCAACACAATCATCGGTCACTTGTCACTGTTGCCAACTGCAACCATGTGCATAACAAACTGATTATAGCAAAAATAAAAATATAATTATAGGGAAAAGTATAAAAAATATTCTAAAAAACAAACTCACAAAAATATATTCTCAAGCGCTAGGCAATGTCTTACTTCTTACGAGCTTTGATTTTTTTTCCAATTTATTCGATTTGATGATTAAAATTAAAAAAAGTGTATGAGACTTAAAAATAGGTGGGGATAACATTACCTTTTTGTTTATTACACACATAATATCAACAAAGCCATATAATAATCATAAAAATCAATCCCAATCATACCAAAATATATAATTAAATCACAAAGATATAATTAGAATTACTTAGCTAGTAAAGCTTCATCACCGTTAAAGAATCCTCTCCTCAAGCTTAGAGGCACACTTCATGTTAATAACGTGTTGTAGTACATAATATTTAAAGAGAAAGGAGAGATGGACGATTAGAGAGATGGAAAAAGGGGTTTAGTTGCCTCAACTTGATTCTATTTTCTCTTATCCTTGTGCTTTTATTTATGGTTTTATTTGCTCTCCATGTAATATAAATCATACAAGGAAAAAAAAACTTCTAGATCTTATAATTTGTTGTGATTTTGTCATCTTGCTCTTTTTTTTTTTTTTAATTAAGTGAGATGCTTTATTAAACATAAAAAAATAATAACTATTTATTTAAAATTCAAATGTGAATATCAAAAATACATGACGGAGCATAAACAATTTTTTTTTTCTAACAAATATCAGTGCAAGTAACAAATAAGTCTTGCTCCTTGAAATCGTGAACATGATTGCAAAACTGTTAGACTTACGAGAGATTTTTCATTGTGATGTGAACACGAATCGTACACTACCAAGTGTAGTAATGAAATTAATTAAAAAAAAATTTCTCAAGTTTTTAATTAATTGTATTATTACATATGCGATAATGAGTTATGTTTTCAATACATTGAAAATTTTCTCTAGACTTACGGTACTTGCCTTTACGTGTTTTACTAGTGAACCAGTCAAACAATGATATTGTCCCAGATTTGGAACGACTAATTGTTTACTCCAAGTTGGCAGGGAAAAAACAACCCAACGGCATGGTTCTATTTCAAATTCAGAAAAGTGAAAATGAAGTGTGTAAATGTTGGATACAAGTTAACAATCTATGATAAAATTATATATGTTAATAAATAATAAATGCGAATAGGAAATTAATAGAGTATGAATAACGAAATAATATTGAACAGAAATATAGAAGATCGAAGCTTGCGTACCGCAATGTCATTGAAACAAAAATTTCGTCCCTACTTAGTGCTTGTAGTTCTACAGATGTCTGCTTCACCAGGATTCAACGATCAAGTCAGAATTCCAGCATCGGAAAAATTGACTTCTGGCGAATTTCTATGTGGTTCTCTCAGTAATGATGTTTTGGATTATAGAAGAAAAATTGTTTTTTCTGTATATTAAATGTCATGCAGATGGATGTATATATAATATGATTATGTATGTTCGCAACAGGTATGAGGAAGGGATACATCTGTTGGGAGACATCTTCTCAATGGGGTGTTTTCTTTCTACGTTTTTTCACACTTCAGACTTCGTCTGAAAAGATGAGTCTGTTGGTTAAAAAATAATTAATTAATTAAATTCGAAATTAGTTAAAAATAATTATTTAAATCCAAAAATTATTAATTAATTTAATTATTAGAGCCCAAGGCCCATCTTTTGATAATTAATTATATATTAATTAGTACATCCCAAAGCCCGACCCCAAGGGTGAGCCCAATTTTAGTCTCCAAGACCTATCACTCAAATCATTAGAAATAAAGGACAAAGCCTTATAAAGTGAGGAAACCTTTTGGGAATGACCAATGTGGGACAATGAAATTTCTACTCAAAATTTCCAACAATACCCCACATTTGAATGCAAATGTATGACTAGGCTGCCTAAAACTGAGAGAGAATATACATGATATGCATCGGGTGAAGTGTCTTTTGGACTTAAACTTACCCTAGTGAAAACATATCGGGTTTACTTGGCGGCGCAGTGGATGTGGAAGATCTTGAACTGTTCATCGCAATAGTAAACCGAGACAATATGCTACACACATATCATGTCTGCCACACATTAATTCATACAGTTGTGTTCATTTCGGCCCTGAACAGATCCCGGATTTCGTAGGAGCTTTAGAGAATTTAACTATTTCAATTCTCATAAATGCGGCCCTATTTACTCCCATATAGGTGACATTAATTAAGAATAGTCTGTCATATTACTCTTGATAACAAGATATTAATGTCATTAAATGTATAAAACATAACCCCTCAAACTCAA